CAATTACGTAATAAGTTCATTCATATGCTTAATTAAAAAATGTTTAATCTCAATTTCGTATATTTCGGGTCGGTCAGGCGTGGCCAACGTAGTAGGCCTAATTTGTTTTTTATTTGGTCTAATCCGTCTATCTTACAATAAGATTGTTTATATTGTACAGTATACAACTTGAAACTTCCGAAAATAATTACACAAAAAAGAAATAACATTCTTCGGGAGGTGAATTTATTTTTTTTTTAAATGAAGTGACTAAAAACAACACTTATAGTCTAATTAAAAACAACATAGGCATAGGTGTATGGTGGGAAACTAAGGACAAGGAAATTCAGTTCAGGTATGATAATATATATATAATTATATAAGAAGTATCCATAGGGGAAAATAAAACAATGAAGAGGGTTAAAAACAGTACCTTAAGGAGAAAGTAGTATCACTAAGGGGAAACTAATACGACGATAAGGAGAAATCATAGACAAAAGAGTTTCCCCTTAAGAGCCGAATAAAGGAAGTATAATATATATATATATATATATATATATATATATATATATATTGAAGAAAGTTATATTATTTTAACATACATCTTATATTATATAAGTAGTGATTTGAAACAATCTATTTCTGTGACAAAACTAAAATGTAAATACAAAAGGCAAATTATTCTACAGTACGCTCAAAAGAAAATCCAATGGATGATTGAAATTAAATAAAATGCTCTTTAATAAATAATTACGATAGTTCACCTAAATTATTACTTTTATAATTGTATTTTCCTCTTTATTTTATTTTATTTTTTTCATGTGTACATGTCTTTGTTAAGGGGCAGTTTAGACAAGCCTTCTGCTTTATAATTGTCCCTTGTCCACTTTATAATTATTCTCCTTTGTATGATAAATGTTATAATTTCGAATTTTTGTGGATGAATAAATGCTATCTTGAATTGAAAAAAAAATTGAATTGAGTGGCCTTCATAAAATTACTAAATTTTAGGGTTTAGAGTTAAAACATTGAACCCAAACATAAAAAATAGTAAGATTAAAGGTAATACTTTATATTTATGACATAATCACATTTTGCTCAAATTACATGTTATACTGTCTATTTGGCCTTTTTTCTCAAAACCTGGTGATGCGAGTTTACAGCCCTTTTGTGATCTTGGGTCACAAATTATTGAACGGTAGTAAAATACCTTAGGTATAATTATATAGCGTTTTAATTTAATAAAGAATTTGATGTAAACAAATTCTATTGGATATTGGATAAACAGTCCATTGGGTAATGCTAAACGCCAAACTCCAATTAAAAATCTAGAGAGAAACATTAACAGTACTGAAATTGATCTAGACACTTACCGTATCTTCCATTGGGATTTCAGGTAAATGTGGTTTTCCTTTTGTATGTAGTGTTGTAACAAGTATTCTACACATTCCAACTTTCAGGCGTAATGTGCGAGTCTCAAGCAGGAGCATTCCACTTTTCACGCCTACATTGTATTATCTAAAATTGTTTATAAAATATAGCGATTATATCCTAAAATTAATAAAATGAAGTGAATTTGTCATTAAAATGTGGATACAAGCTATGCCAACAGTTCAACTACAATTAAAAAAAAACAATAACTTGCTCTAGCGCTCTATTTTGAGATTATTACTTTGAAGGGGGTTATACGGAGGCTATATGAAATTTAAAAAAAAATTTTTTTTGTATGCATCAGACATGTAGCTTTAAAGGGCCTTTCACAATTATCAACATTTTCACGAGTGTACAAACAGTACGCTAGAGTGATGAGGTAGACACGTTTGTACACTTTTATATATGACAAAAATCCTGATTCAAAATAACCTGCAATATTTTAAAATAATAGATTTTTATGACAATTTTTTTTCTTGTGACCTTCATTTTTATTTCTATTTTATTAAATTAAATTAAATAAACACTGGACATGAAGTAATTTAAAGACTAGTTTTATTGACAATACACTAGATTTGGTGTACACAGTGCACTCTTCATGTGAGTTTTAATGTAATAATAATTTTGCAACCATTTTAATGTTCTTATCTCATTTTGTAATTTATTGCCTTGCACCTTTGTGATCCAGATTTGACCTACACCTGTATTTCTCTCCTTTATTTCAGTACTTTTTATGTTTAGTGAATAAAGTGATTTTATATAAAACCAGGGATATAAGACATGTTTATCTAAAAATCACAGTACATAGATTCACTACACAAAAAAAACAATAAAGATAATTTTGCAAAATCAACATGTTTTTGTAAAGTGCATTTTCAGAGGGGTGGGAGACTGAAAAGATTACTGTTTGTACACTTGCGGAAATGTTGATAATTGTGAATGACCCCTAAGTTGGAACCTCTGTCGTTGTAACCACAAAGGGTACTAGGCTGCGAGGTGGTCGTCACGAGTGCCATCTATAAAAGGTTGAGGTATTTGCCTTTGTAGATTCTTAAAGTTCAGACAAATTTCCATGTTATGTAATATGGCTTAAATTTTTGTATTATTTTTATCAGATAAATATC